GCTCTCACTGCCTTCCTACTCGGCTTGCATGTCACAAAAACAGGTAAAAATGAGACCTTGCTTGCTCTGATATCAACAATAAACAGGAAGGATAAGCACCCAAGACAGAAATAAAACTCTTTTTTTCTGACAACAGCAACAAAAATAGAATATGACAGGGTGGAAGGCAACAGGTCGAACTGGTTGGCCATCTTGACTGCATAGATTAGCCATCTCAAATACATAAGACAAAGATGAGAAACAAAAACAATGCTGGAATTATATTCTCCTCTTCTTTATTTTAAAATTTTCATGAAAACAAAGCATTTCTCCATGACACCAGCTTTAGAGACGTCAAGAAAAGCAGCAGTTGCTATGGTAACTGGTATGCTCTGTAACATCTCTGCATCCTCGCAGAAGTGTTGGGCGGGGGAGTTGTCGCGACATGTCTGCCACCTGAGGAGGGATGTAGTAAGAAGTGAGTGCACGCGAGAGAGATGATTATTGTTGTTGCGCCTCCATTTTCAGAAGGTCGTGTCTCCGAGCTCCCCTGTGATACGAACGACCTGCTTTGTCAATGAGGCGAGTCAAAACATGCAAGTGCTGGACATCCCTTTTAGCATCCCTTCATCCTCCTCCTCCTCTTCCTATGAGCGCTGCTGCCTGAAAGACTCGTCCACACAAGCACCCCCCCAGGCCAAGATGGCTACCATGTGCAGCTTTGTGGTCGCCTGCTGGTGAGGGCCTTTTTGCAGTTAATAAGCCAGTTGATCGAATTAATTAGCATCACAAAGAGCTTTCTTTTAAGTCCACCCCCCCATTCATGCCGGTGAAGAGGACTCTGCACCATATTCTCCCTGTAATTGGGTGCTTGGCAATGCAAACATGTTTACACCAAACTAGACCAGACGTACTAAATTAATTTACATCTTATCAAAGCAAAGCTGATTTTGATGAATTTGGAGATACAATAAAACATTGTTTTATTTCACAGCTAAGGTTTCATACTCTAGGTTTTTTTTAATTTTTTATTTTTTAATCTTAATCCTATTTATACTGCTTTTGAAGAAATTTGCAACAATATTAGCTGTTGGTACCATCAAGAAGCACACAGGAAATGTGCATACATAAACATGGTAAATTAACATATTCATCACGCCGATGTGCACCAGTAATCTGTTCAAGGTGACTATCAAAACAATCGCTCCTCCCTGAATCAAAAGAAACCACAAGGACGTGCTTCTGATTCCCTCACATCTCTTCTCTCTCTTTACGTCTCCCCACTCTCCTACTTGTGATGCTCATCAGTTGGCTTGCTGAGACTTAAGAGACAATGGAGGCTTTTGAGACCTCATCCTGTGTTAGGGCATGAAAAATGGGCAACGGCACAAACGGGGGCATTGAGTGGCTCAGAGGGGGACCAAAAAAAGAGTGCGAAAAGTAAAGGCGCTATGTTCAACATGAGTCACAACAACCTCTAATTAAATCATTTATCAAACTAATCTGGACTTGTAATCTTTACAATGTGTCTATTTATTCTCTGTATGTACTACAAGGTTATTAAACGCCTTTTTTATTGTCTGTATTTACTGCATGACCTGCTCTTTTCTGGTCCGTAAAAAAGCACCTAATAATGTTAGGACATACAGTATGTTATGACGTATGGGGAGGTTTATCTTCTTTCCGCGAAAATTTCTCGTGAAGACGTGTACTGTCAGGTTTGCAGTAAAAAGGTGGCAAAATCATTATGATACCACTGAACTAAAACTAAATTTATCATATTCATTCAACCTTTATTTATACAGGTTAATCCCATTGAGCCTCGGGGACTCATTTACAAGAAAGACCTGATTTTAACAAAGAGAGATGACAATAGTGGACAACAACGACAACAATAGACAATCATAAAGGATGTATACAAATAAATAAAAAAAATTAACAAGTGAAAATAAAATAATTAAAAGTAAAAGTAGTGAAAAAAACAGCTAGATTGTAAGGTGGTGCAGAAAACTAAAAACAGGAACATGTCTGCATTGGTTCTCGCCAGGAACTTAACAGATGTTTGAAGCCACTTGGAGAGGTCAAGGTCGAGAACGTCAGATCTTTTTGCAAGATATTCCAGAAAACATGAGCGGAGTAGGAGAAGACCATTTTGCCTAGTTCAGTCCTAACTGAGGGAACACTGCAGGTAATAATGTCCTGAGAGCGCACGCTGTAGCTGCACTCATGCAGTGACATGTAGGAGGAGATGTATGAAGGCAACAGACTGAGAAGTGATTTAAAGTTGAAAATGTACCAGTGGGAGAGTCTGCGTGAAGTTAATGATGCCCAGTTAACCAGTAAATCCAGGGTGCAGTGATGGGTACGGTAGTTACAGCCAGTTATGAATCTTGGCGCACCATGATAGACAGCATCCAACATCTGCAGGGTGCTTGTGTCACTAGTCAATGGAGGGAAGGAAAGTCGCAGTTACAAGGCATTTCCTAGAATTGAGAGTTAAACAGGATCTATTTTTGAAAAAGAAACACAGTTTAACTTTCAGTTTCTTTACCAGGTTTTCCACGTGAAACTTAAAAGAGAGATGCAAATCGACCAAGATACCCATATATTTATAATAATCGACAAACTCAATAAGGACACCATTTGATGATGAAATCAGAGGAAGAACGGCTGGGACCGACTTCCTGTTTGCGAAAAGCATCCCTTTGGTTTTGTCGGCGTTTAGGGCAAGTTTGAGATGGAACAAATCTGACTGGATGATGTCGAAAGCAGATTGCAAAAGCTGGAAAATCTTAGCAACTGTTTTAGTTTGCCAATAAACAACTGTATCATCAACATAGAAATGTAAGGTTGCATCAGGGATGCTCTGACCTACATTACCTAGATTGTAAAGAGGGTGGGTCTTAAGACTGAGCCTTGTGGTACACCATTGTTGACTGTTAAATAACTGGAAGAAATACCATTATACACATTGCCACCAATCTGAAAGACAGCAACTTTGGCTATCTTCAATTTTCAACCAGCTATATGCAACTATTTGAATATATTTATCGTTCAAGCATTCAAGTAAAGTTTTACAGTATCAGCTCTACCAGTATCTGGACAGCAGGGGCTTGGATGTTTTACTTTGATCAAACCAAGAGCATTCCTTTGAAATCTGACAGTCCTAATGTATAGACCTCAGAGCCGGGAGCCGACTTGGGCGCCCCACATCAGACAAGTATTTCAAACCGTGGCTGAGATACACGCACTACTAGATAAGACTGGGGCTTTTAAAACCTACCATGTGCTTCTCAGTTTTGGAAAATGTATGGAGGGGTGGTGGCTGATTAGGTGGGGGTGTAGGTTTCAAATCCCTCTGGGTATTTTCTACTATGGGAGGCTCAGCCCACTGAATGGCTGGAGCTCATTCTCTGGGTGGCGTTTGCATGCCTCACATACCATGGCTGTGACATGTTTGTGTGAGTGTGTGTTTTTGCAGTGGGAGATGTGTGTACTGTCAAGTTGATGCAAACAAGGCCAGAGTGGCAAAGCCATGGGGTTAGACAGATGTGCAAAAAAAGTTTAAGCTTAAATAAATTGTGGGCAATAAACAAGCTGGCTACAACTTGTAAGTCGGATTTGAGCATATGACCTCGCTAATTCCAGAAAAGGGAGCCAGTTTCTGTTTCACAAAAAAATTAAAACTGCAGAGTCACTGCTTTTTTTTATTCTTCCAGGCCTGACGGGACGTTTCAAATGACCAAAAGAAGCAGGTGCCATCTCAAAGTCTTCAGAGTTCTGGCTTTTATGTAACCGGTTCTCTCTTGGAAAGCTGCTCCCATCACTCAAAATCCAGAGGAGACTGGAAAACTTTTCCACAGCCGTCTGCCGCACATGAATGCACAGATTTTATTTCCTGGAAAAACACAGGAACTATCTGTAAATTGTTGCTTTTGTTTTGAAAAGTTGTTGCAGAAGTGCAATAAAATGGCAAAGAAGAAAACAGTTTTTGAGCAAAAATAAAAACGTATAAGAATTTTAAACGTATAAACATTAATTTGTATTTAATTACTGCAAATGCAGTTACTTACAGTAATATTTATGTGAAAGTATTTGGTTACTTTTAGTCTATTTTATTTATCCATTCCTTGCTTCTTTTTTCTACTTTAAGTTGGCATTTTACTGTTATCTATCATTTTGCTGCTTTTATTTAACATTTTACTTCATAGTTCTTACCTAATATTTTGCTACTTTTAGCTAGCATTTTCAGCCTCTAGTTAGTGTTCTGTTCTTTTTAGATATCTTTCTTTAATCATTTTTATGTATTGTTCAGCTTCTTTAAGCTTCAATTCTTCTCCTTTTAGCTTCTGTTGCGCTCTTTTTAGAGAGCACATAGCTTGTTTTAGCATAAACAACTCAGTTTCAGCTTTTCAGCTATTGCTTTGTTGCTTAAACTTTTCCTAAAATCTGTTTTGGGTATTAAAATACTATATACTTTTTAAACAGATAGTCTCATTGAGTCACATGGACTAATTTTCCAGAGAGACCTGTTTGGGAGCAGGTGGTGGGGGTTAAGGGCCCAGAGTGGTGCAAATGAGGGTGGAGGTAGGTGTTTCACCTTTTCTACCCGGTCAACCTGCGACCTTCCATCACGGGTCCACCTTCTCTAACCTCTGCGTCACCACTGGCCCTAACTATTATCAATCAACTAATTAACAGCGAAAAGCAAAAGATCTACCATTTAAAAGTCATGAAAACATATTCAGATGTAACATGTTGATGATACAACAGTATAGGTTGCCTTTACAAGTTAAAAGTATCAGATCGATATTGGTAAAACAGGTTTTGCCTTTGCATGATAATGAATCGATACCATATCTTGCAGTATCGCTCACCACTAGTTGATGACTAAAGTTGCAGTGACAGGAACTGAAGGGGCTCCGCCCCCTCTTTGCGGATTGGTCGGAGCTCCGCGCCCCGCCCAGGGGGAGGAGTCTCAGGTCGATTTCGAGGCGCGGTTGAAATACTCACAGCCGTCTGCCAGCCATCCTCCAATTTGCGCTCATCCGCTGTGGGGTTCACATCTTAGAAAGTTGGGGGTTCTTCTCGTTTCCACATCTTGTAAGGAAGGAGATCCGCTCGTTTTTATTCGTCTCCTTGGAGGAAGACCTTACACCGATCCCAGGGCTGGATTTTTAAATCTCCAAAACTCCTCCGGGTTTTTCTTTTTCGATTTGTCCTTTTTTCTTTTTTTTTTGTTCAGAGCGCCTAAAGGAGGATACAATGGGAGCCCAGTTGTCCAAGGGTGGAGTAGCTGTGGAGGGGAAAGCCGCCGCCGACCCTGCTGCTGCCAAAGCCAACGGCCAGGTGGGTGAAGGAGGCCTGATGAGGGGGGGGGGGGGAGCGGGGCGCCACATGGCACCCAACGCCCACTGGCAGCATGGGTGCCAGGACAGGACGCAGATCCGCTGTGCCCTCCTGACTCTTAAACCTCTGTTAGAAACATTTCAAAAACCGAACTGAATGTAAAAAAAACAACTGCTGTGGGACGTGCAGCCGTCGTGCCCGCTCAGCGCGCACCACGTCTCATCTCTTTGTTAATTCCGTCTGGTGCTCCCAAAGGGGACGATTTACCCGCAAATTTCCCGCAGAGTGCTCAGATTCTTGTCGAACCTGAAGCGTGAAACGGGTTTTCTGTCATGAGTTGGCTGAAATCGGGCGCGTCGGGGGGGTTCGCGTCGAACAAAGGATGCGAGGCGAGCGGCGCAGAGGATGCAAATGCGCTCTGCTGGAGGCGCACTGTGCGAACAAAGAGGCGCCACTTCACACCCGAGCTCCTGTAGTCGAAGCCGCTAAAGCTTGCTGTCTGTCCGTGTTTTAAAAATGTTTACTAGTTTTCCACTTGGTGTTCTTGGAAAGCAACAGTGTGACATTAATTATTATTCACAGGTCGCATTAGATATGTGACGAGTTTCGAGCTTGTCCATAAAGTTTTGTGTCCCTCCTTTCTTCCTGTATAATGTTATGGGCGCGTTTTCGTCATGAACCCAGTTTTATATATAATGATGTGAAGAGCCTTTGCTCCGTCCGCTGCAGATCTTGGATGAGAGCAGGAACCAGGTTTCTCTGGGATCCCTTTGTTTCCCAACTCGCCTGGCAGAGTTGCGTTTTTATGAAGCACTGCTGCCCCCTTGTGGCAGCTCCGAGTCATGCAGGCAGCTGTTCAGTTCCATTTTTGTCAAATGGTGTTAATCCTATCTGCAGGTTTTTATTTGTTTGTGCAAAAGATGCAAATACGAGATGTCTTTGTTTAGATCCAGCGTGACTGAGTTGTGTTTAATTTTTTTATGTTCTAGGAGAACGGCCATGTCAAAACCAACGGAGATGTTTCAGCCAAGCCTGATGGAGAAGTGGCTGCTGCAGATGGAAATGGAACCGCTGAGCCAGCCAAGGAAGGAGAAGCCAGCGGCGGGGATGCCATCGAGCCGGCTCCTGCTGCTGAGGGCGAGGCAGCCAAAGCGGAGGGCGAGGCTGCCAAAGAAGGCAAGAAGAAGAAGAAGTTTTCCCTGAAGAACTCCTTTAAGTTCAAGGGCATCTCACTAAAGAAGAACAAGAAGGCAAGCGAAGAGGGCAAGGAGGAAGCCACCTCCCCTGCAACTGAGGATAAGCCTGAGGAGAACGGCCACGCGGCTAAGGAAACCAAAGAGGAGACGCCGGCCGCTGAGGCCAAAGAGGATGAGGCGGTAGCTGCTGCTGCTCCTGTAGCTGAGGGGGAAACCAAGGCAGCAGAGGAGGCGCCACCAACAGAGCCTGCCCCTGCTGAGGAGGCTGCCGCCGCCGCCCCTGCTGAGGACACAACACCTGCAGCCTCTGAGGGCGAGACCAATGCTGAGTGACAGCACACGGCAACGGCACCTGAACTAATTTTCCAAGATTAAAGTATATAAATATATATATGAGAGACATGTGCCACGTTCTCAAAGTTATAAACAAAACTACAAAAGAAGACAACAAAAGGATATATCACATTTGCTGATTCCACCACCAGTTCACTGCCTTTTATTAGTTCGACAGACGGAATCTCACCGGGCCCTCTCATGATGACAGCGTTGGCTTGCGTCGCCCCCCCTCCCCCTCATGGTACACACACAGGGACTGGCGTGTGGCGAAGGATGGATTGGACGTGGCGCGACTTATTTTCCCAATTCATGGAAAAGCATCTTTTTTTTTTTAACAGCGTGGCAGACCTATAATGTTTTTATTTTCTTTCTGATCTTTTTGGGATCTAAATTTTTCACAGTTGCAGAAAGGGGCAGACCATCTCTTTCGCTCGAAATGACTGTTATATGGACACATAAATCTTTCAAATGATCTTATGAATTTTTAGATTTAACATTCCTATGCTTTACCCCCCCGAATTTCAAGTATTTTGTCATGTATAGAAAAGTGAAAATCAAAGGAGGGGAGGTTGGATAAGAGCAATGTCTTTGTTCGTGCATTTTGATTCTTTTTCTGGCTAAAACCACATTCAAGCTTTTCAAGTATTGCAGTGTTCACATTTCAGAGTTTATAATGCAGGGATTGGGGTTGTGTACAAAATGTGAGCTTTTTATCTGCAAACTGTCAATGTAAATATGTTTTGGCCATTATTTTTGGTTCTCTTTATTTTGCTATCGTTTGAAGATGTTAATGGTTTTATTGTAACTTTTAATAAGGGTAAATAAATGTTTGATCCCCTCTGAGTTCTGCTTTCTTATTTACCATGGACACTGATTGTCATTAGATAACACATATTTGCAGCACGCGAAATCCATTTTGATTGTGAACACTTAGGTTGTAATATACTAACACAATACGTTTCCAGTTGAAAACTAGCATCATAGTGTGACTTTGAGGCCAAATCAACTCCACAACCTTATATTGTTAATATTAACTCAGTGTGTGGCACGTGTCTATTAGCTATTGATATTGCACATACCTCCAAAATAGCATTTCATATGCCACTTGGACCAAAATCATTAATTCGGCCTGCATTGCAGTTTGATTTGTTTAGTCTCCCCCTAGTGGACAAAATTGGTTCTACACGCTAAAACTGGTGCCGCCATTTTGCTAGGTGCTACGTTGTCACAGCCAGAATGACAGCAAACGATATCGGAGTAAAAACCTAAAAAACTCCTAGGAGCTCAATGACCACCAATTTTATTTATGATAGCAGGCAATTAAAAACTTGAGAACTTTATGTTTCAGTGTGAGAGATATTCCACATCAATGTGAAGAAGACGAAAGAGATTGTGGATTTCAGAAAGAGCAAGCACACTACTGAGGGTGGGCTACAATACTACCATTCTGATCAAAGCACATCAGCGACTACTTCCTTAGGCGGCTGAGGCGAGCTGGACTGACCTACAGGTGTGCAGTGGAGAGCATCCTGTGCTCCACATCGTGTGTAGCATGGGGGCTGCACAGCTGGAGAGAAATGCTCTGCAGGGTGCTGAAGGCTGCACAGAAGACTTGTGGACATCTACAAGAGGGCCACCTGCATCATGAAGGACCCCGCACACCCAGCACACACACTTTTTGCCTCGCTCCCCTCAGACAGGAGGTTGCAGAGCATTAAGTGCAGAACCACTAGACTGAGGAACAGCTTATACCCTGAGGCTGTGTGCCACTTAATCCATGCTGCTGATTTTTTACTTTTGCTGTTGTATGCATTTCCATCTGCTCACAACAGACTCATGTTCAGGCTGCTGTTTAATACACCATATTATATTTTATTATTGTTTAGCCTATAGCTTAGATCCTTGTATACTAGTTCTTTTTCATAGTTTACATTACAGTATTGCTATTTTTGGGTGTAACAGACCTTGAGTACACAACTTTTGTTCCACCTCAACAACATGTGATGCGAATGACAATAAAGAACCTTAAAGTTTGTACAGTCACAGGCAGCCTGACAATGAGTTTAAAGTGAAATTCATATAAAAATATCTTGAGTAATGATAAACATACCATACTCTTGATTTGAGAATTTTATTAATAAGCACATATCACGCTACGTCATCTGACGAGGTGGCCGAGTGGTTAAGGCGATGGACTGCTAATCCATTGTGCTCTGCACGCGTGGGTTCGAATCCCATCCTCGTCGGAAAATTATATTTTTTGAACAGTTCTTTTTTTCATGATATTCTAAAATCTGCCTATGGGTTCTTCAATTTCGAATAAAAGTTAGCGTTTTTTTGGCCTTAAAATCCAAAGAGTGAAAGCAATAAAATTGTTAGAAAAACTTGTTTAGTTTTAATCAAAACTATTTACTACACAGGATTTAAGCACTTGGATCTCTTCCTTTTACTACTGTGCGAAGCTAATGCATCTAAAGGTTGCTATTTGTTTATATTTGTATCAATATCGTATCAATGACTGTGTTTTTAGTAAACAACGTCTTTTGTAAATTAGTTTGAACAAAATACAGCCAATTTTTACAATATTTTGGGAAACTTTTTTCAAGTATTCAACTCGTCGTGAATGAAAACCCATTAACCAAACTCTCCAATAGTAAACTGAACTATTGGATAACTTTAAATCTAACAGAAAATGTTTTCATAATCGGTATGAACAGAAAAAAAAAAAAAAAAACTTAACAAAAGGGAACAAAATAGTCATTAAGATTTAAATAGTTTAGATAAAATGTTTGCTATGTATTTTTTTTTTTTAAGAATACAAATATGTACCGGCACGTAAATGAAGAATACCGTACATATTTTCCCCTCGTCTTGTAGTTGTAATTCCTACTATTAACCAGTAGAGGGTAGTGTTTTTACATTTCTGCACAACTGGTTTTATTTACTATGCACCTTCTTGCATGCTAACTAGTCTTTCATTCCTGCATGTACATGTGTAAATAAAACCTTGGCAAAATACATTTTTAAAACTAATCAATTTACTTTAAGTTATTGATTTTGTCATTATTGTTCCGTGTGTACTTCTAATTGTATAGATTTTCATTAGATTTTTGTTGTAGATAAAAAGAAACAATTGTTAACTTTCCAGTGACATTTAAACGCACCACAGTGGAGGAGGCGTGGCGATGTGCTGTGATTGGCTCTACAACAGGAAGTGAAATTGTAGTAATTTAGCTTAGCATATAGCAGAACGAATTTCTCCATATCACGAACTTTTCAGAGTTTTCTTCGAGGTTTTTTTTTATTTTTCAGAGCTCAGAAAGTGTTCGTAGTGTTTAAGATGGGTTTAGAAGCCTGGTACATGGACAGTTCTGACGAGGACCAAAGGAAGCCACACAGGATGAATCCAAACCAGCCCGTTTCCCTAAACGAGTTGAAGAAGCTAAGAGTTTTCTACTGGAAGGTAAATCACAACTTCAGTAAACATGATCAGTAATGTTTTAGACTAGTTTTAATCATGCATTATGTAGCGAGTGGCTCTCAAACGAAACAGTGATGATGCAATTTAATAAAGATGCGTTTACTTCCCATTTTTCTGCAGCTGAATGCTGATATTTATGAAACAGACCTAGAACTGGAGAGGATCCGCAAAGAACAAGGTTACTCCTACATGGACATTATTACAATTCACAAGGACACTCTACCCAACTATGAGGATAAGGTAACCAGTGTGCTCCACACTGCTGAAGACATTTTTAGTGATAATATAAGTAAGCCTGAGCCTGGTTCTGCTAAAGGTTTCTTCCTCATGGGGGAGTTTATCCTTTCCACTGTTGCCTTCACGCTCAAGATGAGAGTTCTGTAATGGAGTTAAATTCAAAGCAGTCTGCTCCTCAGATAATTGGTGGTAAATTACTATTTTATATATGAATGTTTCAGTTCAATGTCCTGAGATGACTTCTGTTGTGACTTGGCGCTATATAAATAAACTTAACTGAATATTTAATAGAAGTGGATGCACGAAACACTGTGGCGCAACTGGTAGAGCTGTTGCCTCTCAGCGAGAAGGTTGCCAGTTCAAATCCCGGTCCACGGGCCTTTCGGGGTGGAGTTTGCATGTTCTCTCTGTGCATGCGTGGGTTTCCTCTGGGTACTCCGGTTTCCTCCCACAGAAAAAACCATGCATGTTAGGCTGATTGGTAACTTTAAATTGCCCCTAGGTGTTTGTCTCCATGTGTCCCTGTGATGGACTTGCGACCTGTCCAGGGTGCACCCCGCCCCTCGAACAGTGATTGCTGGACATGGGCACCAGCGACCCCCGTGACCCAAAATGGAAGAAGCGGGTAAAAGATAATGGATGGATGCTCGAAACTCTTTGTAGCAAAATGACTAAAACAAGAAAATAACCTAGGTTTTTGCACTGGTCCAGTCAACCTGCAGACCGTGACCTGATTGAGAATCTGTAGTGGGATCTTGTTAGAGCTGAGCATAAACAAATCTTTGCAAACCTTAATTAACTGAAACAACATTGTAAAGAAGAGTGGGCCAAAATTCGAGACGCTAAGCAGTTTTCATCTGTCAGAGCAGTTTTTTCCGTTCATTCCTTCCGAACTTTAGATAAGCCAACAAAAATTCGGGCCAAAGTTGACATGCCAAGCCATTTGGGTTGGCCCACCAAGCAGTCCTCGTTACTATATTAAAATTTCCTTTGAAGAATCAATGCAATTTCAGTCGTTCCATTGACTTTAATGTTAGATGGAAAAGTCAGCCCATTGACTACCGTATATATGAGACTGTTTATTTATGGTCAGATTATTGTTGCTGTTAAGTTGTGTTGCTGTTGGACATGCAGGTTTTGACATTTTGCACTACATATTATTATACTGAAATGCCAAAATTTCAATATTTGTTTTAATTTCTTATATACAACTTGCATATTTGTTATATTTTGAGTTGTGTAATGTTATTTATACAGAATGGGAGGTTAAATAACTGTATAATAAATAAATGGACTTTACTTAAAGATGCATTTGCATTTCATGCATTATATTATTGCATTTGGCCCGAGTCCTTTGATAGATTTTAAATTTGGCCCTCTCAGGGAAAATGTTTGGGCACCCCTGATCTATACAGTATATTCAGATACATTAAATGAACAAATGTGTCCTTTCTTGTTACCAAACTGTTTATTCTACACTGAGTGTAGCTATTTTACAATCTGTTGACACTTAACAGTCCCAAGTTATTTTGCTTTTTTTCAGCTGAAGATGTTTTTTGAGGAGCATTTACACTTGGATGATGAGATTCGCTACATCCTAGATGGCCAGGCCTACTTCGATGTCCGGGACAAGGAGGACCGATGGATCCGAATCGCCATGAAAAAGGGAGACCTGATCACTCTGCCGGCTGGCATCTACCACCGCTTCACTCTGGATGAAACGGTACAGCTGAGGGGTGAAGTTTGAAGCAAGTTCAACACAACCAGTCTTTGTTTGTGCTCACAGGATTTACAACTGATTTAATCTGGATTTCTAACGTGACCTCCTGTGATGTAGGTCACATGTTCAACATCAGTTACCATGGTGATGTAACCGATGAAAAAGGTCCACCTTGTGATATGAGGCACAGCTTATTAACCTTGTAACTTCTGTCTGCATTAAGACTTTGGAATTTGTTCATTAAATATTTGAAGTACCTGCGTTTAAGTCAGATTTTTCACCGGCATCGTGATTTATGAACGAAGCTAGCAGGTTGTTGTTTATTCTGGTGTTTGTCAGTTGATCTGATCCGAGTGCTTCCCCCTCCTCAGGACTACACCAAAGCCATGCGACTGTTTGTGGGAGAGCCAGTGTGGAAAGCCTACAACCGACCAGCAAACGACTTCGAAGTCCGTCAGAAATACGTGGCTTCACTGCAGCGTTCCTGAGATGAAGAAAACCCTTCAATTGCTGCACACACTAAAAACAGACACACTAATAATGTGAATTAAAAAAAAAAAATCAGGTTTACAAGTAAAGTTTTCAATTTATAAAAACTGACAGAGGAAATGGCAGATGTTACTAATATATAGGAGACTGCTACCAAGTAAAGATTCATCAAGTAGCTTTTGTATGTATGAATGTTGTGAGACAACTACTGTTGTGATTTGGTGCTTTATAAATAAACTGAATTGAATTAACGCACAAGAAAAGGTAGTTCAAAAATATGTTTACCCCAAAAATAAGCTCATTAGACTTGAGATGTCACTGGTCAGGTCTTAAACATTTGAACTGATGTTTTACTAGTGCAACTTTCTGTACAGTAGTACAGTTTTTATTTGTAAACTCAAGGTAGTTTTCCTGCCCAGGGTCCCCCCGTCTCTCGCACAGTGACTGCTGGATATTTGCACCAGTGACCCCTGTGACCCTAAAAGGAAGAAGCGGTTAAAGATGATGGATAGAAAACCTAGTTCAGTGCCGTTTTGCTCCAGTGCTGTTTTTTTTTCCTCATCTGCTGCTACTTCATCATCCATTTAGTTTTTGTTTGACCAGGAATGCATTACTTGAAGTTTTAATTATCTGCTGAACAGTTTTTTTTTTAATCTGCCTTGTTGAGCGTACTTAGCAAAGATGGCGAGATGTGACAGTTCGGTTTGCAAAGTTTAACGAACACTAAACATCTTTTCAGATGAAAGCGTTTCTTGCTTTTGAATATGAACGTTACATCATTTCTAATTCTGCATCAGAGCTAAACATCAAAATTCATAAGGATGAAATTCTGCTTACCGTGTCACCCAAAGTGTTATTCTTTACAAACGGTCATCTTTTAATAATGCACCTCGTGTACTTTTACTGAAATAGAAACTGCATCTTTGACAAGTGCCTTTAGTAAAACCATAAAAAAATCTTGATTCTAATTTATAGAAATGAATAAATGTTTTGACATGTCTTTTTCAAGAGTTTATACAGTTGTACAAAAAAATAAAGCTGCTGCCATTTAGTCTTTTTATTCATTTGGTTAAAATGCTTATTTAAAAGATCAGATTTATTTAGAATAGGAACATTTCTTTATACATACAAATGATTCACAGAATTTGTAAACAAAGAAGAAAATCAGAATCAATAAATCAGGAAAAAGTGCCTCAGATATGTACAGCTTTGGATTGGTAATATTTTACATTTTTTTTGATTAGTGGACAGAAACCGATGCAATCTGAGGGGCTTGTTTATTTTCACTTCAGGAGTGATGAAATCAAGTGGTAATCCAGTTTTACAGCAGAGGGAGCTGCTATAAGAGTCTCCGTGGAAGTTTATTAGACTAAAGCTCAGGATAATAACGACCAGGCAAAGTCACATAATGAACCACAACTCCTGTAGTGCAATGTTACGCTTTCCAACTGAGCAACTTAGAATGTGAAGTAGTGTTTAATATTCAGCTAAAAATTTAAAAGAATATTTAGGATGTGTAATTATTGGAGTTCTTATGGGGGGCTTTGAGCTAAACATGAAGCTACAACTCAGTGTTAGGATGCTGGTTGACCTCTGCATGACTGGAAGAAAGACCCATGCAACCGCTTTATTAACACTTAGAACTGAAAATATGTATATTAGCAGCAAATCTGTCAAATTTCAAAACAATCCTGCAAAACGGATCACAAACTCTTAGGAGCACTCAACAGGCGCCTTTGGAAAAACTACAGCTAGAAAAAGACATGAAAATAACTTAAAACTGAGCCAAGCTTTATTTTATTTATATATTTAATCTGTTGGTAGACTTGTGTTGAAGAGAAACTGGTATAAAGACACAAACATGCAGCCATCTTGATCTCAGAAAACAAGCCGTCAGATTAACAGTAACCTCTGTCCAGCACATGATCCTAACCCTGTCTCCCATTTCACTTGTTGCTTGGCAGCAACTTGAGGTCAAGACATAACTGTGTTCATAATCCTGGAAAACTGCTGTTTCCATAAAAAGTGGGGGTCATGTTTTAATTGCCGAGTCCGTTTTAGTTTCAGTCAGAGTCAGCCAAGTTGACTTTTTCTTCTGCATCTACTCTGCACTGGTGTAGCTTCATATTCAGCACAAGCAGAAGAGCAAAAAAAAAAGCACATTCTGCCACAAACTATTCTCTTAAAATTAAATTTACATCAATCTTTGCACATACGGGATGTCTGTTGGAGCAGTTTTTGATCCTGTAAATGGGTGAAGACTGAACCACGATCCAGTTTACAAGAGGAGAAATGTGTACTGTGCTTGAATTCCCAATCTCTCCAGTACACTGAACATAGATCACAATCATCTAAACTGGGAAACGTCTCCCTGGAGACAGGAGTCTGTCAGGAGAGCAGTACGATGCACTTCTTTCTCCAGTTGTCCCCTCATACCAGTTTGAGGCACTGTGTGTTGAAGCTGTCGCCTTCTCGGCAGGCCACAGCGTCCAGCAGCGCCTGCTTCTTCTGCGTGCTGCGAGACGACTCCAGCTCATACATGGTGGTCAGATTGAACAGGACGCTTTCGTGCAGGTAGAGGGCGGGGTCCTGCTGCACCAGGCCCTCCAGCTGGCCCAGCGACTCCTTCAGCCGGCCCAGGTAGAGGAGGCACACAGCTGCGTTGTTGTTGGCCTGGAAGCAAACCACGTTCAAACAAATCAGAAATATTTCAAACTGTTCTGTGTAAATTTACTGAACTATTCAATCGTTTTGAGCGTTTCAGCTTCTCACCTGCAGAACTTCTAATGTGTGAGAGTTTAAAAGAAGTGGGAATACTTACAACAGGGTTTTTGGGGTCAATCTTTAACACTTCTAGGAAGGATGAGTGCGCGTCAGCGTAGTTGTTCTGACTGAGGTAGACAAACGCCCTATAAAAATAAAAAACATTTCTATAGTATCAAAATCATACTAGTAGGTAAAACCATGAGGATCAATCATCTGCTGTGTGTGGTTCATGCATACAAGATCTTTACTAATCAATCACAAAATAAAAACCACTGAGTAAACATTTTAAATATGTCACCTTAGGAAACCATGTTCCTTGGTATTTGAGACTTGACATAAAAAAAAAAGACCCAAGTTCTCAATCAACCTTTATTTATACAGGTAAATCCCATTGAGCCTCGAGGACTCATTTACAAGAGAGACCTGATTTCAACAAAGAAAGATGACAACAATGGACAACAGCAACAACAATAAGCAGTTATAAAAACTCATACTACAGTTTTTTTTTTTTTTTTTTTAACAAATAGGATAGCTAAAAGGAAAAAGGTAACAAAACAAAAAACAGCTAGATTCCAAGACAAATGTAGAAAACTAAAAACAGGAACATGTCTGCATTGGTCCCTGCCAGGAGTCCAACAGCTTCTTAAAGCCACTTAGAGAGGTCAAGGTCGAGAGCTTCAAATCTTTTTGTAAGATATTCCAGGAAACAGGAGCGGAGAAGGAGAAGGCCCTTTTGCCTAGTTCAGTCCTCACTGAGGGAACACTGCAGGTAATAATGTCCTGAGAGCGCACGCCGTAGCTGCACTCACGCAGAGACATGTAGGAGGAGATGTATGAAGGCAGCAGACCAAGAAGTGATTTAAAGATGAAAATGTACCAGTGAGAGAGTCTGCGTGAAGTTAATGATGTCCAGTTAACCAGTGAATACAGAGTGCAGTGGTGGGTACGATAATCACAGCCAGTTATGAATCTTAGTGCACCATGATAGACAGCATCCAACATCTGCAGGGTTCTTGTAGGAGCGTTCATGTAAATAATATCACCAAAATCAATTGAGGGAAGGAAAGTCACAGATACAAGGCGTGTTAACTGGTTTCCATAAATATTTTTTTGGATGTACATTTTGAAATTGCGCAAATACCTTTTTAAAATGCTGCCAAAGCAAAATAGTTCACTTTCTTATAAAATCAATTTATAAACAAAAGTTTACATGGAAACGGCGTTTGAAAATGGGGTCCAAATAGGGAGCAGCTGTTACTGATCACATGACTGATGAGCACAAGTTTGTCCGTTTCTAGAGAATAAACACGACCAGCAATTATTAACATTAGCAAATAATCACAACTGTTGAAAACAATTCCTTAAGGAATCTCCATTTTTTCCCCCCTCATAGATACACTGGACATGTTCTAGAATAATATAGTTCAGTCTTTTCATTTCAACTGTGGTATTTTTCTTAAATATTGGGTGGGCTGAAGCCCGGCCTGAATTTGGTCCGGGCCATAATAATGTGATGGATGAGTGGGCAGGGCTTTTGATTGCGTCAGTGGATGCGTGCGGCTGACAATCCAATTATATGGCAACATTGCTTGCCATACATTCACCAGCTGCACACGGCCATTTGACCGCACGCTGACCGGCCTTGAAAGAGGCTCTAGTGCTCTTCCTCTGAGTTTTGGTTCCCATTTGAACCACAACTGTTTATTGTAAAATGTAATCGACAGCACCATCTACTGACTGCGTTCTAGTGACTAATTAATTTACCAGAATCCAGATATATTTTCTAAATATTTCAACAGTTTGTTACACATGAAGGCATGAGTACATGTTCACCCACAATGATCAACAGAACAGCAGCAAGTCTACAACAGAATGGCTGAAAGAGAAAAATGGAGACGTTGCAAAGGCCCAAAGTCCAGATTTGAGCCTTTTTTGTACTAATCATTAACAGAGTCTAACACTGCCTTATGCCCAAGCAGTAAAGGTGTAACTCTGTATTTCATGGGTGATGCAGATTTGCTAAAAGCCTAGTATAAAACAAAGTGTCCCAGAGAAGCATAAAGTAAACCGTATATAGAGGTGTAAAATACACGTCATGACGCACCTGTTCATTAAAACACATGTGGCGTGACTGAAGTCACTTCCTTCCATCTGACAGTCTTTCTCCACATCTTGGAAGTATTTCTCTGCTGTTTTCAAGTCTCCGATCTGTCAAATCAAAAAAGCAGTGACACAGTTACAGCTGATCCTTGGGTGGGCTTAAAAAAACAGGGCAAACAAAAGAACAGCACAGAAATATATTAAAGCATTTATATTGCTTACAATTATACGAAAAATCTTTAAGTCATGTTTATTTTGTGCGTATAAAATGAAAAATGACACACTCCTACATATATTCTTGGGACGACAGACTTCTGTATAGAAAAACAACTAGTGCGTTCTCACATCTGTGACTTCTGTACCACAGACAGACGCTCATGATTATAATTTAGTCATTATTACAAATAAAAGTGACAGGTTTTCCCAGAGAGCAGAAGCAACTGAAATGGATGAAGTCATAAATGTTTAGTGATGTGGAACCATCAGTGAGGGCTTTTATCTTCAGGACAAATGTACAAACTTGGAAACAAATATTCAGAGGAAATAGAACCAAAGCAAAGGAGCTCCTCTTACTTTCCTTTGGGTTAGTTGACAGCACATCTGTGAACTCAGATTTAAATCCAGTAGTCAATGCCAAACCAAGAACTGAGCAGCATTGTGGAAAAAAATACTATTTTTTCCAGTAATTCTTTCGAGTATAGTTCATAAATTAGGGTAAAGTATGGTTTACTTCCTGTGTATAGTTTTAGGATATATTTCTGGATGCAGCAGTTATTGCCTAAAGGCTCTAAGGTAATCACAAAGTGGTTTCTGCTTTACGTAATGGGATTTTCCAGAGTCCCTGAATCGTTTAACAATATAATATTCTGTTGAAGCTGAAATACACAATGTTTTGTACTGTAAAATGTTCATTTTTTAATTCTGATAATTGATATATGGTTGAGTTTTGGTTGCAGCTGTGAGCCATAAACCATCATTGTGTTTTTTTGTTCTTTAATTATCCAGTCCTGACACGCTCAGTCATTATTTGGCCAAATGTGGAATCTTCCAGAACAACATTCCAAATATATATATTTTATAGTTTTATTTGTCTAAACTATTTTAGTTTGCATCTGTCAAAACATCCTAAGCATTCCTGTAAATCACTGAAAAAAAAAGTACTGTATTGTTAAAACTGCTATAACAAAAACATTTTCTTCAGGTTTTTTTTTTACCCTCCACTTCCAACAATAAGATTTATTTCAGATAACCTAACAGAGAATGGACACTACTAAGTTTAGCTAAAAAGCGTGTTTTCACGTAACCTGAACTCCCTTAGTGACACTAAACAGCCTGTTTTTAAATACAGTTTTAAAAGACTGTTTTTTTAAACTAGTTTAGTTGTAAAATGTTTGTCAAAACCAGTTTTTCATAAGCAAAGCAGAGTTTATTTCTACTCTACTGAAGCATAAAAGTGCATTTTGTTTATCTTTTGCCTCAGGTAGCTCTCTATTTAATCACCTACATGTGCATTATGCAAAGCTAGATTAATCAATTCTGTCTGTGTCCATGGAGCTAAAGTCCTATAATCTATCCACCCATCTGGTAATGTACAGACCTGCAAGAAGATGCGTCCGATACCACTGAGCAGCTGCACTCTCTGCTGGGGCTCATACTGGATGATAGAGTGGTAAGTCTCCACAGCCAGAACATAGTCCTGAGGACAAACACAGAGCAACAAACAGGTTTAGGAGAAAAGCCAACAAATACGTACAAGAATGATGAACAGAAGGCAACGAAAAAGAAAAGTCGAGTGAGGTAAACTGTCGGAGGCAGATGCATGAGCAGAGTTTAGGTATGGAAAGAAAGGCGCATTAATCAAACATGTGGCGTGTTAGCAGGACGATGTGACCCTCGGCTCACCTCTACACCGCGCTGCAACACATCGCTCACTCTGTGGCAGTAATGCTGAGCGACACGACACAGAGAGGTCAGAGAGGTGCGTGTGTTTGCAGGCTCAGTGGGAACCAGCAGCGAGACTACAGAACGTGTGTACTGAGCATGTTCGTGCATCTGAAAAACTTTTACCAAAACTAAAACTTTTGACATTGATGTGAACACCAGATAAAGTTCTGCAGAAACGTTATTATCCTGCCCCCCACCACCCCACCCCACAACTTTTTTTTATTTTTTATCTTTTATGTCCAAGGAGTCAGACTTTTTTGTAATCTTTAAAGAAATGTTAAACTAACGTCTCTCAACAAGAAAAGGAACTATCCAGATGACCTGACTGAACATTGTTGGATTAAACTAAAAAAAGTTTGTCAAAATCAAGGCCCGTGGGCCAAATCTGGCCCTTGTTAACATATTTTAAGGCCCAACAATATTATAATTTAAATGAAAAATGTGTTTATTCTTCTCATTTTGCATAAAATAATAATTTAATGCAGGTTTCTCATGATGGTTGGCTAACTTTGATGCCAGAAAAAAAATGGGATTTTTCTGTATTATTTGATTTTGATGTGGAGGAGCAACAACAACAACAAAAACAACACATGGGGCCAATTTGACTCCTGTTTATGAACCTAGAACCAAGAAAAGATGTCAAGTATCTGGGTTAATACATCGATTGAAACTGGCCCATGACTTGGAAAAAGTTTTCAACTTTGGTCCATTCATGCAAGTGAGTTTGACACTAGGGTCTTAAAGGTCTTTCAGAGATTTTTTTTTTTACTTTGGCAGTATTAATAAACTTATTTTCAGTCTAGTGTTTAATCATTTTTATAGAATTTGTTTTCAAATTAATTCACTTAAAGTTGAACTATAAATTATTCAGGCATAAAGAGGCTCCTAAACTCGAGAGATGAACCAGTGTCATGTTGACACAGACAACTTAGCAAAGAACCAGTTTTAAATGGGACCTTACAGCATTTTGCTATGGCAGCCTGTCACAAACTCACAATTTATTTCACTTTTCTTAGTTGTTCTATATAAAATGACCAAAGACAACCCAATGTGATAGATACAAACCAGCATAGCACCTAAAAGGAGATGCCTATAGAGGTAAAAACATATTAACTGAAGGATGATGCTTCACTCATATCTTTGATTTTTTTTAAATGTTTTAATGACTTGCAGATAGATAATATTATTATACTGTACATAACTGTTTAGATCTGAGACCCATTTCCTCAGCTTGTTTAACTAGTTAAAAAACTGACACAGAACTATTTATTTTGAAGTTAAAATATTTTTGAACAAAGTTATAAAGAGGCTATGGAACATTCTTTACCTGTTGCATCTCTATCTAAAATCCACTTTTTTAATTCCCTTGTAGTTTTCGCTTTATTTAAACAAACTGTTTTATAAAAGGCAACTTTATATGACTTATGTGCTTTTTACTTTTGAATCTTTTGGAATATTATAAATATTTTTTGAATAAGTTTTCATACAGTAATAAATTGCTTTTAGTAAACTTGTGTTGCGAGTGCATACGGGTATTTATGATTTTAATAAAAAAATGTATATTTATCCCTTATATTAACATTTGAATTTACATTAAACTGAGTTGTGCATAGCTCCACGATCCTGTTAAAGACAAATAATGAACAAACACAAATTATAAACAACAAAATCCATGCTCAATAATCCAACAAATTATAAATATTCACTAAATGTAAGAATTCTGCACACCGAGTCAAAAACTCATTGAAACCGAGATCCTGTGACAAAAAAATGGTGTAATTTCAGCTCCAAACGGTAGATGGCACTGTGTTTCTCTCTACAGTCTGATCTGAGCCCACAGACCCCCCACAGACCCCCTCCCTCCACTCCCCACTCGCTCTTTCTCTGACCAAGAATCCAATTAGTGGTCAGTCTGTGGGGATTTCACTGTGAATCCTCCACCAGCCCAGCATCAGAGATCTCTGACTCACACACACACACACACACAGGGACACACAAACACATACACCCACCTTCATCAGCAGCAAGCAGTTGGCCACGGAGAACATGACCCGACTGAGACGAGACCTCCACAGCTTTAGAGACGCTATAAACAGGGAAAAAAGAGAAGGTTAATTTACTTTGTGTTTTCATTCCACCTGTTTTTATATAAATATATATATTCCTGTATTCTCCTTTCTCTAAAATCCCTCTGTACTATTATTCCTCCAACCCTTTCATTACATCCAGCTGGGTTATTTTAAGGCGAGGCAGTGAGGAAGACACTGCGGCACATTTCCTCTTCCTCTGCTCTGGGAGAGCCTGTGTGCTCTGCCCGTTACTATTCATCGCTGTGTGTTTGTGTGCGTGAGAGCTGGGAGAAGAGCTAATCACTCAGCAGGGTCCTGATGTGTGAAGGCAAGGCTCTGCGTTATCGACTGTCTGTGAGAGGAGAGACAGAGGACACAGCTATTACGCTGCTTTTGTTAGGCTCTAAAATACGGGCTGAAACGAAGCGCTGGATCCAGTCATACACGTATCACCCTGCTAATTTCCAAGTATAAAAAAATGTACAGTATATTTAGCTCAACCGAAACAATTAAACTGATATACACAAGTTGGAAAAGTGGCTGGAAGCGCGACAACTGAGAAACACAAGTCTGGACCAGGTTTGGGTTGTGCGGAGGTGTGTCTACCTAAATTTTAGATGAAGATGCCTGCCCATTTCCCTCTCACAGTGGTGCCGATGTGAGTGGATTGGCAGGACTGATCTGTATTGATCTGCTTGGCGTGAAGAGCTGGAGAGACCATTTGATATTCAGTGAGAGTACCGAAGCTGTGAGGTGCTAAACACTGTTGGAGCACCGCATTGGTGTGTGTGTGTGGTGGACACTGTGGAATTGTATGCGAGGCTGAGGCATGCTGCAGTCCTGCACCAGGTGTGTATCTGGATTAACCATTCAGGCCCATGACCTCACTCTCCTCCCAGGATGCGATGCAGTCTGGGACTGTGGCCAAGACTGCTTCTCTGTGTGTGTGTGTGTGTTTGCTTACCTTGCCTATTCTCCTGTGTAAGAGTGATCATGCTGCCATCCTCTGCCAAGCCATTCTCCAAATTTTCCAGAATCTGTTCAAGCAGGGAGGGGATTTTAGCTTCAGTGGGGAAAAGGGGTTCGCTGCCTTCACTTTATTAGTGTTAAAGTATTATATAACCACATTTGTTGCATGTTGTCTTGTTTCAAATGGTCAAGATTTCCCAACTGATTATTTTAGACCATTTAGTCATTTTAAAGCAAACATTTGCTGTAGAGGTTTATAAAAAAAATTCAAATCCAGTGTAGGTATATGCCATAATCATGAATGATTATTTGTAATTTTGAGGCTCAAAAAGATACTAAGACATATATTTTAAAATGGACAACTTTTTATGTAATAAAATAATAAAAAATACCCTCCATATTATTGTTTTTTTTTTCTATAGTTATAAAGTTTTTTTTTTTAACAGATTTTTCTGGAGCATTTAAAAATCTGAAAACCAAGTTACATCAAATGCTCATTCAATGATTTTGAAATCCAAGGATGAACATGTATGCTATATTTATGAATGACTAACTTGAGCTTCTTAAGTGGAAGATGAATTAAAATAAGACATGTACAAATATATGTTGAATAATATTGGTTACGGAAAAAAAAGTACAAAGCTGAATAAAGATAGGACATGTCTACTTACTGGTATATACTCTGAGAAGAATTCTGCTTGTTTTACATGATAAATTCAAGTAATTTGCATTTTAAGTATATTGTTGAAAATAAATGTCTTTCACTAACATTTTTCCTCATACTCTTTGTTTTTCCATACTTAAGCAGGCTAGAGAAACAACAAAACAGGTTCTTATCGTTTTAGGACAGAGCTGCCCTATATGTCATTCAATTACAAGATCTTTGAAATAGTAAAGAATATATTCAATTGTTTAGACTATACACTTATCTGGAGGATGTGTTCTGGTATGTGTGTGTTTGTACTAACAGCAAGAGAGATGGTTTTGAGGTTGTGCAGGTGGTCCAGAGCCTCCTGAGGCTTGGCCAGGTATTGAGGAAGTTCAGCATGCAGCAGCCGCATGGAGAATGGTACCATCGAGCCTGGACATAAAGGGAAAGCCAGATGGAGAGGAGAAGACAACAGGGAATGGAGGAAGAAAATGTGAGAGGTAGAGGGGACAATATGAAACATGGTGGGATGGGAATGTAGCAGTAAAGTGAGAAAAAAAAGAAGGCAGAGAGACAGAAAGATGAGAATATAAAGCTATCCACCCACACACAGACTGTACACAGCCCTGGAGGCAGGAACCTACAGATGGCACCGAGCTACGTATGGCTGCTTATTAAACCCTCTCATCTCTCCATCTCTGTGTGCTGCACAGCTCCATCACTCATCTCCCTGCCTCATCCCTCAGCCAGCCTCTACATCATTCACACTCTTCCTCACACACGCTTACGCACATGCATGCAAGCGCATACACCTGAGTCTCTGTTCAGGTGAGTCCCCTGGCTTTGATCAGGGTCTCTTTGATACTGTCATCTGATCTGAAACCAGCTAGCTACTTCATCTTTGGCTCCTGATTCTGCCAGTCTGTGTATCTCAATTTCTATCTACATTCTCTTTACGTTTGTTTTCTATCAAACCCATCTAGAGGACATGATAAACTCTCCTTTCCCCATATTACCTTCTGACTGCATTGCTATCCAGTGGACCAATCTTTATGCCCAGCAGGCAGGGTTGTTGTGCTGCGATTGATTAGCCAGAGATTATGGGCTATTAGTACTTTGAATCTGATTAAAAGTTTATTATAATTTGTTGCTATCAAACACATTTGTTAGAAATTGTTTTTAAAGCAAACGCAAAAAAGAAGAAAATTAGATTTATAGGCCTGTCACAATAAACTTTGCTAGGTGATTAATTGTCTCAGAAATTATTGCAATAAAATATATTATTTGAAATTTGACAATAATTAGTAATTATTGTGAAATTTAAGAAAAAATGTTGGTTAATTTTTGTGTGTAGTACCTTTTTTATGACCACTGGATGGCAGTATAAGACTGTTTGAACCAAAGGATGGATAGCGAGGGAGTGAGCACTGTGTCTCATTAAGAAAAATGCGAGGGAGGCCTCGACACGACATGGGCTGTCTCTCGTTCTTATTTTTCGGTTCTTAAAATGGCGGACGCTCGGTGTGGTTTGAGCTCTTTAGCATAGCATTTGTCAGACAAAGCTATTAATAAAAAAAAAAAACTATAAACAAGTTCTCAGCTTCTTTTTGCAGAGAAAAACAACTTTTTACACAAAGGCACGAGTTTCAACTGTGATTTTTGGAGCTTTGACAAGACGGAGGTTTTTTTCCCCGAGGTCAGCCTGTTAGCTTAGCTTGTAGCTTAGCTGCTTTTAACAATCCAAAAACGTGATTTTGGACGATTAAAAAGGATTTTAAAGAGAAAACGGAAAGGGAGGGAGGGGTCAGTGAAGAGCACCGGAGTTGATCCTTTTGTCATCCAGTGTTCAGTAAAGAGACGAAGAAACGATAGACATTAAATGAAACTGAGGTAGATAATTTTAATTTATCATTTAATTGATTTATTGTTTATTGCGACAGGCCTATTTACAATTTTTTTTTAAAAGGGTACTGTGATAATTTTTTTCATGGGAAAAAAGTGTATAAAAAAAATTAACATCAACCAACACATTCATGAAGTATTTTTGTTGGAGATGATCCATCTTCACAGTTACATAGGATTTTCTCTAAGATCTTCATATTCAATTAGTGACATTTATACATAATCCAAGAATTTTTTTGTAAGAATACAGCTACAATTACTTCCAAATTCAAACTAGACTAAACTTTTCATTTTACAAACAAAATCACAAGAGACAAACATTGATTTTTAAGCGCAAAGTCGATCACAATCCTTTAGGAAAGTGATACATGGGGCAGCCATCTCCTAAGGCGTTCACAGAGTGTGACTGTGGGTAATAGATAGTCAATGTGAGCGCTAGACTAAAGAAATGTTCGAATTCTGATGCCAGGCTACACAGCTTATGCCAGTTTGTCTCTGAAAACCTAGTAGGGCATAAAGCGTTTAATATTGAGCAATGGAAAGTCAATCGGTGCTCTCTTTTAGAAGGCTGTGCAATGTAGCTTCAAATGTTGTTGTTTTTTATGTGTGTCTGTGTGTGCAGCTGTGTCTCTGCTACTGCCTTCGCAGTGGTAGCCCGAGGGGTGAAGCAGATCCAAAGTAATGAGAATACATTAGAGCGCAATTCATGCAGCGTAAAAAGAGGAAAAACAAAACCAAAGAACTGCTGGAGACAAGTAGAGTTGTTGGAGCTTCTCAATGATACAGGCTGATACCAAGCTCCTGGCAGAAACTTTCCCTTGAATATTTAATAAGACAGCGGTGGTACCAAAAACAGTGGTTAAAAATCCTTTTAAAGAGCATTCTAACATTCTAGCATTCTAACAACACATTCAATGCTAAGATAAGCGTTTTAAAGCAGCTTTTCAGCGCAATCAATAAAACTATCCAATTTGAGGTTTACTTTGTGAGTAAGTTTATAGAAAAGTTTCTAGTCAAATAAAACATGAAGAGATTTAAAATTTTAGTTGGGACCATGATCACAACCAAAACTGCACTAGGGCTGAGCGATATGGACCAAAATTAATATCTCAATATTTTTAAGATAAATCACGATATATGATATATCGCAATTTTTTTCTTTCCATAAAGTAATAGCAAAAATATATTTGAGTCAAAGATTTGACCCAGTTGTCACACAGGCACATTTATTAACAAACAGATGTAATTGTACAAAATAAATGTCTAAAAAATAAATTATTTACATATATTAAATAATTATCCTATTCAGCTGCGCTGCCTTCACTACGTTAGTAAGCATGTGTGAAGCAGCATGTGAGGGGTGGTGTTTGTATTCAGTGAGGGAGAAGGAGGGGCTGTGTGAAGTTGGTGGTGCAGACGGACAGAAAAAGGAGAACTACTGAACAGGGATTTTCAAGTCTTACAGTGAGAGGTGGCGCAACATTAATAAAGCAGTGGTTTATCATATCGCTAAAGACACGGTTCTTAGAGGCTAACTTTAGCTGTCTTGTTCCACAGTTGAGACTGGGACTGTGTCTTTAGCGATATGATAAGCTAATGCTTTATTTAAATAAAAAAAAAAATAAAACGATTACCTCTCTCACTGTTCCTCTCACAAGGCACAGCACGGCTTAATGAGTTTTGACTCGTGGTTTGTTTCAGAGAAGGAGGCTGAAGTCAACCATCGGAGCTGCAGCTTCTCACATGCTTCATATTCTACTTGTAGCGCTGTTTGAAATGGTGAAAAAGATTCGTAGAGCCGACCTTTTGTCGGGACTTGTTTTTGACATCGTCTACAGAAATCATTTTTCTGCTGCTCATCTGACAATTTAAATCCAAACCATCTCCAAATAACAGCCAATTTTTCCTTTTTGCTCAGCAGCTAAGCTGCTCTTCAAATCTCCCATGTTTACTTGTTGTGCTAAATTTCCTGCCCACCTGGATTAGCAGGAAGAGGGAGGAGAACGCGCAGGTGAGGGGCTGTGTTTGTATTCAGTGTAGGAGAAGGAGGAGGGGCTGCATGCAGTTGGCGCAGGCGGGAGAAAAAGAACTACACAGATTTTCAAGTCTAATAATACTTGATGGTTGCTATAGAGCCATTTTAACCATCGTAAACTGAAAAACTTGTGATATATTGAGTATATTCGATACATTGCCCAGCCCTACTCTTAACAAACTGTCAACAACAGAAAACAGAAAAAAGTTAATATACTCGTGTTTTCCATAAACATACCTCTCCTTCCTGGGTAAACATTTGGGTAGTACTCATAGTAAAGATCTGGTTGATCTAGGCTGCCAAAGGGTTCAAACTCCAGCTCAGCATTTTGAAATAGGTTTAACTTGGTGAGAAGAGACAGCCGCACAAACCAGAGCTGGAACAGACAAAAATAAATCCACAAGTTAAATCACTGTCCTGTTTGTAAAACATAATGTACAAGATTAATTAAAACACAACAGCATCCAATTCAAGTATATGCACGTGAATGCATCTTGATGCTCATGTACTAACAAACAATGTTTCTAAATCATGCTCACACAAAAAAGCTAACAATGAAAAATGTAAAAATAAAATCTAATAGGACTATAAATTTATTTTTTTCCCTTTTAGACTGGTGTAGTTAGTTTTAGAGAAAACACACAAACATGTTCAAAACAATAAAAAATAAAATATCCACTAACAGGAAACTATGATTTCAGCTAATTTAGCTGAGAATGTGATCTTTTTTCATGAAAGTCCAATACTAATTAGTATCACATGACTTATTGTACTATAAAATATATTAAAAAAAATAATGAAATAATCTGTAAATAATTTAAACTTAATTAAAATCAATAGGGAAAATGACATTTAAAGTGTTATAAATGAGAAAATGTATTGTATTTATTTATTTTAAATAATGCAGCAATAGACAGAGTCTCTTAGCAAGATAATAAAGCCATACATTTTACAAATGTACACATTCTAATGTAAAGCATTGTTGCAGTACTAAAAAGGTATTCAAGTAGTGTTATAAAGAATTACCAGTACCAAAATATTTGCTGTAAGAAATGGAAGTCCAACATGCACAGATGTACAAAAGAGAAGGACAAATCCCACATGTGTAGCTCTTGCAGAAAATTAAACATATCTACATAATCTTCTTAGGAAAAAACAAATGATCTGTGTGGGCTAATAATTTAACAACAATGGAATGTAAATAATATACGATATATAACAATGATGTTCTTTAGGCACTTCATTGGGTCTATGTTTCAACTAAATGCTATGCATTAATTGCTGTTGAAGACTTATTAAATATCTTTGCAGTACAAGACCCATTTAGGCTTTAATCATCTCTGCCACCCACGGAAACACAAAGCCTGAGAAAAGGGATTAATAAAGACAAGTCATTGGCATCCTACCTGCAACGAGTCGGTGGTGTGGGAGGTTGGCTGGCCAGCCTTCCCGTATCCCTGACCATGAGCTGTCAACAGCCGGCCCGTCAGATCCACGGCAGCCCGCCAGTTCTTGGTGCTCTGCAGGGGAGAAGTCACAACATGTCTGAGACACGCCGCTCTGACGGACTGGGTTACCATCAACACTTTGAGTTGTCCAATGCATACTGACCCCAATCCCCTAATAATTACAAATTAATATTAAAGAAATCATCAACTTAATGAAACCTTATCTTTAATTCAACTCCATAGTTACTTTTGACATGAAATAATGTTTTCTTAACAACCTTGATTCAGTTTATCTAGCATAAAACTCAGTTCTAAAGGCGCCATCTAACTGGGCTGTGACTAGTTGGTGAACAGTATTCATGAGGGAGTCTCCAGAATGTCTTGCAGCTCTCACATGGTTTTCAATTCCCTCGCTGAGGTGCAATGTCTCGTTGCTTTAGTTTTGGATGGGTTAATACATTTTGTGCAACAATATTTCTCTCAAAATAGTCGCATAGTTGCAGGCATCTCAAATCCGCCTGAACTGTGTCACGGGGATCTACAATCTATTTCAAGAGCATGGACTTATTTTTTGATGCATGCATGTCAGCTCTCCTATAATAGAAAACATCCAAGTTAAAGTCCAAGTCTATAAATCAAGCAGATGAGAAATAATAAATATTGGAAAACTGGTCCAAATGTGCCTGTCTGCGTTTCAAAAGTGTACTCCAGCAGGGGGGACGCCTCCCATGGTGAGGACAAAGCAAGCTGAGCTGGGTATGATGTGTGCAGAGATGGACACGGAAATAATGTGAAAGAATGACGTTTTACAAGCTGTGCACACTAAAATATGCTGTGATTTTCAGAATCATAGTTCACTAGTCACTTAGTGGCAGAGTTCAGTGAGACTGCATTGGAACAATTGCATTTTCTTATAATGTTGAGTCACCAACTAGTCTCCTAACAGTTGCAGCCCAGTGAGCTTCCACCTGAAGGTTGTGTACAGAGCCACAATACATTGAGTAAAACATATTAAAAGATTCAAGATATTAGAATAATTTTTGAAAAGGAAAAATAAGAAAAACACCTTGATGTGGTCTGACCAAAAAATTTGAAATTTTCTAAAAAATTATAAAAGCTGCATTTTTCAGGCTTTTACTGAAAGTGGACCATCTTTCTGCTTGTTATTATTACTGCACACCATTCAAAAGCCACAATGGTATAGTGCAGTTTCTAAGTGCACTAAACAAGAGAAACTTGTATTTGTATTTGTAAAAGTACCACAATTAAAGGAGTGGGAATGCAACAGTCCCATTTTTAATACTCTTTCTTCCAAATGCTATACTGCCACTCAATACCTGCAAAAGGCGATGCAGTCAGAATGATTCATGAGCTTATGGAGTCGGTTTCTTGGAAACAAATTCTGTAGGGTATCAGAATTGTCAAATATTTAAAAAAATTACCAAAACTTTTGGAAAACAAATTCAAATGGAGTGAATAGTTAACTGACTCCAGTATGAATAAAACGTATCAACTGAATTACAGGACAGAGATCAGCAACAGAAATGACCTCAGATACTCTAAAGGTAAAAAAGGTAAATGTACATCTAAAAGTTTACCTCTAAATTGTACATCTATGGAAGCTTAATTGTAATGTTAAGATTTGTTTATGCATTTTTTAATCAAATTACCAGTAGTTAAATAATCAAGTTATGTTTATATATTAGGAAAGTCATATGGTATATAACTAATGCATATAAATATGCATGTGTGCAAAATATCAATTTATTTAAAAGAGCTAATTTTATTAATTTACCAAGAGGTCAATAAACTTATAACTGTTTTTTCTTCCTATCAGACATGGTTGGTGCTGTAATGTGGAATATACTGCTCCCCCTCCCCCCACAAAAAAAAATATAAAAAATATAATAAAAAAAAAAGTAAAAAACACTGTTCCACTTTTTGTTATCTAATAAAATAGGTGCTTGGTAAAAACATGTTCTCTCTGAATGTGATGAAGTGACAATACATTTGAAATAAAGTAAAAAAAATGTCTCAGGGTCATATTTATGTTACCTCCAAAGTACAAATAAATAAATAAATACGTGCAGTGACAACAAATAAGGCAGGAGAAGGTTTTCACTTATGACAATTAAGCCAGCTAATCAAGATTTTAATAATCCAAGTAATACTAGTAATAATTTTTAAATAAATGGAATTAATAATAAATAAAAATAGAAGAAAAAGTACAGCAAACAACTTTTTAAGGGAAAAAATAAAGCAATTTAGACAGACAAGCTCCTTAAACTTAAAAAAATAAAAACATCAGCAGAGGTGAACAACAAAGAGATAATCTATAATTTTACAAGCGTCATATATGAAAGCCTCAGGGCTCTAAAAAAACTATCAAAAATTGTATTTATCACATCTTCAATACAATCATTATGAAAAGATCATAGAATCTACTTGGAAAATGTACAATACTCTAAAAGAAGACTATTGATGTACTTTGTGTAAGGATGCAGAGGACAGAGCGAGATGGAGGAGGATTACTCGCTGTGGCGACACCTGAAGAGGGAAAATCCAAAAGAAGAAGAAGAATAAAAAAAGAGCTACAGCTCTTGGGTATTTTGTAACTTTGTTCTACTTCAGCTTTTAGTAGCAAAATTACAGTAAAATCACCACAGATAACTTTCTAAGAAAACTTGAGAGTACAGATCATGCCATACCTAAATTGTGTTTCCCACTAATTATAGCAAATCTTTACAATCCATGGCAAAACAAAAGTAAACCGAAGATATTATTTGAAGTTAACGTTTGTGTAAAGTTAGGGCGGTATTTATTTTTTTTTAACCCAAAATGTAAAAAAAGATTCTGTAAGTACTGATCTGAAGTAACAGATGTTTGAACACATTAAAAACCATGTATTTTATGTCAATTTGAAAGTTTTATGGCTAAACAGATGCTCGTAGATGACTGCAGCTGTAAACAATTAGATGGAAAACACAATTAGACTAAATTTAATAACAACAACATAAAAACAGGATGTTTGAAAACAGCTTTTTCTAAATATAACTGTCCAAAAACATTATGTTGTCTTTGTTGGACATTTCCCACCCAAACACATCATTGTCACAATTAGCGCACGTCTTCAACGTGTCTTCAAGAGTAAATATAGTTTTGAAAGTCTAACAAAACTTTTGCAGATATAAATTTGTCTTCTTATATATGAGGGAGCTCACAGCAGTCATTTTGCAGTACTTAAGTTTTTTTGTTCTAGTATTTTAAAGATGAAAATCTAAAATAAGAAAGGTTAAGAAAGTCTTTGGAAATGACAACTTTTTGTACACAATAGTAGGCCTGTCACAATAAACAATAAATCAATTATTTGAATTATCGACCTCATTTTCATTTATCGGCTTTATCGTTTCTTCATCTCTCTGCTCTCTTTCTACTGAAGACACTGGATGACAAAAGGCTCAACTCCAGTGCTCTTCACTGACACCCCCCCCCCCCCTCTTTAAAATCCATTTTAATCGTCCAAAATCATGTTTTTGGATAGTTAAAAGCAGCTAAGCTGAGAAGCTAAGCTAACAGGCCGACCTCAGGAAAAAAAAACAGTCTTGTCGAAGCTCCAGAATTCACGGTTGAAAACTGTGCCTTTGTGTAAAAGCTTGTTTTTCTCTGCAAAAAGAAGCTGAGAACTTGGTTATTAAAGCTTTGTGTGAAAAATGCTATGCTAAAGAGCTCAAGCCACACCTAGCATCCGCCATTTTGAGAACCAAATAAAGGAAGGAGACAGCCCACGTCATGTCAAGAGGCCTCCCTTCCATTTTTCTTAAAGAGACACGCTGCTTGCTCCCTCACTATCCATCCTTTGGTTCAAACAGTTTTATACTGCCATCAGGTGGTTGACAAAAAAGGTACTATATGCAAAACAAATTAATCAACATTTCTTCTTAAACGTGACATTAATTACTAATGTCAAATTTCAACCAATATCATCGTTTATCGCAATAATTTCTGAGACAATCGCCCAGCAAAATTTGTTATCGTGCTAGGCCTACACAATAGCTTACCCAAAAGTTTAGTAGAAATTAAAGATGCCCTCTCCTAATTATTTACGCTGTCAGTCATTTTGTCATTTATGCACTTGAATTATTTATGCAACAGTCTGTAGAAGATTCAAAGAGTTAATATCTTAAATGCACAATAAAACACAGTGAATGAGTGAGTGCTAAAAACATACACAAACCCAGATATTAGCAGCATCTGTTTCCACAGGAGGCGGTACAACAGAAAGAGGGGGGGAAGAGGAGGGGGAAGAGTAGATTCACCCCACCCCATCAACACACATGACAAGGTCGGTTCGCCGATTGGGTCCTAAGTGCTGTGCCATTCATCACAGCCAGAGAGCTAATTAGGAGAGAGAGGAAGTGAGGGTAACTTTCTTTCTAGTCATCTTTATCACAAAACTGATCACAGTTTTCTTTGTCATAGCTGCCCTTTCCTCCTCATTCATGCTTTCTTTATTCCTTTTCCAGTCTTTTTCTCATACTTTGTTTTCCTCAATCTCCTCCTTCCCCTTCATCAGACTTGATCTTCTCCCTCCCCTTTCTTCCCGCTGTCATTGTTTCCTCATGCATTGCTCTTTCCTCATCCCACCCTCTTCTCCTCTGCTCTCCTGCCCTGTGCCAGTAGCTGCGCTGACTCTGAATCTTCATTAGGAGGGGAAATGAAGCTGAAAACGAGGAGGCAGCCTAGATGGCCAAAAGCAGCTGCAGTCACTCACACACAAACTCAACCTGCTACAGTACACAGCTGACCTGCCACAGGGCATAAAAACAAGACAGGTGTGCGAGTGTGTCTTTAAGTGTATACGTGAGGCTGGGATTAGGTGTGATCGTTGTACAGTAGCTGCATTCCTCAAATGTATGCACACACAAAACTGAGATGGGACACAAAGGGATAAAGGGTTTAAGCAGCTGATAAACAGGATAGGGATAAAAAAAAAATCTGTCCCACATTAAGTGAAAGAAAACAAGACTTTAAGACAGTCATAACTGGAGGAAACAGAAAATTAAAGAATTTCT